CCCGTCCCCTCCCCTTCCTGCTCCAGCCCTCCCTTCCCATCTCTTCCCCAGCCCTTCCCCAGCCTGTCCTGTCATGTACCAGCTTTGCTGAGCTCTCATCACTTCTCACGTCGGGGCCCAGCTGCGGCCAACATGCCCCTGCCGCTCCTCTTGAGAGTCCTCGCTCTGCAAGCGAGTCCTGGGGCCTGCTGGGCAAGGGCTAGTGTGACTCATGGCAGGTGTGTGACAGCGAGAGGGGCCTGATCAGCTCCAGACACAAGTGGGCAGGGGAAATGCTGCTTCGTGTAGGTGGGGAGGGAAAGGCAGGAGGTTGAATTGTACGTGCATCCACTGGTAGTCAGTCAAAGCCGCTGCAGGGAACCCAACAGGCAGCCCCAAGCGCCTGCAGATAACGAGCATCGCAGCCTCCCAAGCCTGGCTTGGCCCGACTCTTCCCCCTGCAGTGTTCAGGGGATCTGGCTGGGGGACGCGGATGCCGTGCTCCCGTCCAGGCCACAGGCCAGAGCCGCGTGTTCCCTGGCACCATCCAACAGTCTGGTGTGCATGAGGTGTGTAGACTGCCCCCGTCAGGGTAAATCTGAGGTCTGTTCTGGGCCTTTACTGGTCCATGACGTGGTAAAGGCAGGAGCTCTTGTCCTTAGCCCATGGGGCCTCCCGTGGTTTAACTCTTCCTCTAGTGTAGACAAGGTCCCGGCATCATCTGAGAAGGAAATGGGGGATGAGAGCGGCCAAGATGTTGAACTTGGGGAAAGCCCCTTCCCATCTCTGCTAGGGCCCTGCATCCATGGTCAGCAGTGCAAGCGTCCCCCACCCCGGGGGGTGATCCTCGCTGAGCTGGGGCGAAGGTGCACCTCTTCCGCCTGCGCTGCTCCCAGCCCCTTGCACTGCCGGGAGAGGCCTGGGGAGGCACGGGCGGCTCGGCAGTGGGCACGCAGCTGTCTGCCCTGCCCGGCGCATGGCAGCCTGCCCTGTTGTCTAAGGCAGGGCTGTCATGCATCCTGTCTGCAGAGGTCAGTCACCCTGGGGGCTTGCATCCAATCCCCCTCCTCAACCTCTCCCTGCCGCAGGGACAGGTGTCGGCACGAGGGAAATGCAACCGCCTTCCCCTGCACTGCCAGTTGCCCAACGGTGGTGGCACCGGCCTCTTTCCCCTGTGGAGATGGAGGCAGTTTCTCAATGCCTCCACATCAGGGTGAAAAGCTGCCCCACTCCGGAGCTGAATTCCCATAGTCCCAGGGATGCCCCCAAGGGCCAGGTGCTGCCCTGCCAGCCCAGCCGGCCACTCCCAACATGCGGAGCAAGGCATGTCCCCAGGGACACGTCGGTGCTGCTCCAATGTGACCGTCGCAGCTTCGCTTCCCAGATCCAGGTAGGGCCGACAAGGACTGTCCTCTACCACCCGGAGTGGGTAAGCGGAGGCTCGCGCCCCCAGGGAGCTGGAGGGAGGATCCCTTTAGTGTTCCCCATCTCCCTCCCGCGTTGAGGGGCCCGGGGCCGTACAGAGACGGCCCCGTTCCTCCTCCCCAGCAGCTTGTCCTGGCCCTTGCTACCGGTTTGTTCTTCCGAGTGTTATTTACTGCTGAGCCAGGCAACCCGCGGCCCCGGGGGAGCAGCCGCCTGCTTTGTTTTATTTACAGTTGTTTGGGGGGGTTTTACAGCGAGTTGTAGCAAAATTTTTTAAAGGCCAGCTCCGCTTGTGGCCTTCCGCAGTCACCTCTCAGCTGTGCACCATGTCAAGAAACGAGGGGTCGTGGGTGAGATGAGTGGGGAGAAGCCACCGGGGTATGTGGGAAGGAGCCAGGACGCTGAGATGCCTGTGCAAAGCGACTGGGACGCGCCCAGCGGGGTAATCGATCCTCCAAAATGCTCTTCCATCCGGCATGGGAGCAATACCTGTGACGGCCGAGGCTGCTAAGGCCCCCTTGCCGGGCTGGGAATGCTCCAGTGGGCTTTCTGCCATAACACGCTGTAAAACCAACGGAGCTGAGAGCGCGGAGGTGGGACGCAATAAATCCTGATGGAGAGAGCGACCGGCGGCCCCCGAGCGTATCCGAGCAGCGCCAGCCTTCGCTCTGCTCGCGCCGCTGCAGGCGCGGGGGCCAGCCGCACGTCGGGAGAGCAGGTGAGCAAAAGCCACGTGCTCCCCGCAGCTCATTTCCAGCGTGAAAACTGGTGGCAGCCTGTATGAATCTGCTTCGGGGCCCGCGTGAGCCAGGGCACGTGGCGCAGCAAGGAGCTGGTCAGTCGAGCCCGGCCCACGTGTGGCACGAACCGCCCACAAGCAGTTGGGGCTGTTCCTGGTTCCAGCCACACTGTGTCCAGGTGTCTGGCCGTGCGCCCGTCCTCTTGCCAGTACAGACAAAAATGCCCCACGCCACGTGGTTTGCAGCACGCGCCGTGTCCACGTGGCTCCGGGCCTTTTTGAGGCGCTCTTCTGGGAAGAGATCCCAGCATGCGCTGTTGTGCCTGGCGGTGCTGTGCGTTTAGGGATGTTTCTTGTGCATTGTGGGGCCCTGGCTGGTATTCTGGGCCAAATGAGTCTCTTGTGCTATGCCGTAAATCCCTGTGTCCAGAACCCTTTGCCACTGAGTTACGCCCCCGCACCCTGGATTTTACTCTGTGATAGGGAGTGGACACAGCCGGCTGTCCCCAAGCCACTGCCCCTGCGAAGCGCTGTTGCAGGGCTTGACCGCTGGTTGGGCTGGGGGCGAGGAGGAACTTGTCCCCCTTGTTTGTCAAGGGGCGCCTTGGCCCCGGGCTCACGTGGCTTACTCCAGAGCCGGGCTGGGCATCGTGTCAGCTCCACTTTTCCCTCCTTGTGAAGTCAGAGCTCCCTGGGAGTCTGTGTGCTGGTGTCGTGTCTGTACAGTGCCTAGCACGGTGCCAGTCTGGCGGCGGGTAGGAGCTGGGGTCCAGCGTGGCCCGTGGCGGCTCCACACAACAGCAGTGGCATGGGGCCTGCTTGGCTGCACTGCTGGTGGAGGACTCGTGCCCACGCTGCCCGCATCCCTGCCTTGACTGGCACGCCTGGCTGCAACCGGCCGGTCCGCACAGCCCGCCACGCTTCATGGCATGGCCTCTTTCATCCGATCACACACAGCTAATGGGCAGGGAAGGACCCAGGCCAACAAGGACGTGACTTGCCCTCTCCCACGCCGGGGGGATCACAGCGTTCCCAGGGCCCTGCCTGCAGGGAGGCAGCGTGGGCACGAGCTGCAGACTGCGCGAGAGCCGTGGGCGCCTCCAGGCTCTCTTTGGGAGCCTCCAGGTATCTCGCTTCTGCCCCTGTTTCCTCCAAGCGCTCGGGAAGCTGCTCCTACTGCGCAGCGCCCTGGCCGTGGCCCTGGCCTCAGGGGGCTGCGCCCTGCAGGGAAGGCCGTGCCCCCTTCAGTCGCCTTCCCTGATGTGCTCTCCTGCCTGTCTCAAGGTTGTCTCCCTCTTCCTCTAGGGAAACAAGTCGAAGCAAGGCTGCTCCAGGTCCTCAGCACCAGCCGCCTCGACGTAGCATCTGCAATAATAACGCTGTGCCCTTTTCTCCTGCCCCGGCCCCTGGCCACGCAGACACGAAAGAAACGTGTCAGTGTGTTTGCAAGCCGTCCTCTGGGGCACCAGGTGCTGCTGGGGATGGGGACCGGGCTGTCCCAGAGTCCAGTGCTGCAGGTATCCTGTATCTGGACTTCAGCAAGGCTTTGGACAAGACCTCCTAAACATGGTAGAGAAATGTGGGCTGGATAAAACTGCTACAAGGTGCATAGATAGATTTCATAGACATTTGGGCTGGAAGGAACCTTGGAGGATCATCAAGTCCAGCCCCCCGCCTCAAGGGCAGGAAGTCAGCTGGGATCATAGGATCCCACCAAGATAAGCATCCAATTTGATAGCTGGCCCCATAGCCGCGAGCCGGGGTAATCACTAATGGGTCCATGGCAGGAGGTATCGAGTGAAGTCCCCCAGGTGTCTCCTGGGCCCGGTGCCATTCAATGAATTTATTAACGATTTGGATGTGGGCATGGAAAGCTGCTTGAGCAAGTTGGTGGACAACAAGAAACTGGGAAGGACTGAACCTGCTGGAGGATGCGGGTGCGATTCAGGAGGATCTCAGCCTGGAAAGCTGAGCTGGAGCTGACGGGACGAAGTTCAACGCAAGGGAGGAAGAATCAACACGGGCAGGATGGCGTGAAGTTAGAGAGGGTCCAGAGATGGGCAACAAAGATGATCAAGGGCTTGGAAAGCGAGTCATAGGAGGAGAGCCTGAAGGAGCTGGGCACATTCAGCTTGCAGAAAAGGCTTGAGACAGGACATGATAGTGGTCTTCACATACTCAAAGGGCTGCCACGAAGAAGAGGGAAAGCACCTCCGCTCCTTTCCTGCAGAGGAGGATGTGAACCGATGGCTCGACGTTGCTGCAAAGTAAGTCTTGATTGGATATCCCGAAAAACTTCTTCACTGTTAGAGCAGGAAAGTGGTGGCATAGATGCCTGGGGAAGCTGTGGGCTCTCCATCGCTGGAGGGGTTCAAGAAAAGTTGGCCAGCCACTGAAGTAGGCGTAGCGATGCCTATTTTCTACCCTGGGTCTTTCCCAGGTGTCTGGGTTTTGCCGGTTGCTCCCCTCCGCCCCCTTTTTTTTTCGAGTTCAGGCGATGGTTGGCACAGGGCTGATCCTGCCGCGGGCGGCGCTTGCACCAGAGGTGAGCTGGAGCTCCCTTCCAGGACGCCGAGCTCTGGCATCCGTGCCAGCCTGACCTCTCGGAGACGTGCAGCTCCCCGGGGCTACGTGAGCTGCGGAGCAGGGCCCTGCGCGCGCCACTCCTGGGATCCAGGCACCGTTTGCTCCCATCTGCACTGAAACTCTTGCAGCTCGGGGCGTTCGGCTTCCCGCAGCAGTGGGGTGAAGCCCAGTGTATTCTCCCCATGGCCCCGGCTGCAGAGTCGCGTCGCTAGTCCGAACCGAGGGGGCGGATGGCGATTTGGCCCTGTTCGGGCAGAGGCAGGGGCTGAAACTTAGCCCCCAAGTCTCCCCACCATAAAGCCCCCAGGTGAGCTGATGAGTTACAGAGCTCACCCCCTTATCAGCGGGGCCAAGCCCTTTATTGCCTCTCTCGGTGGGTGGTTGATCCGTAGCCAGGCCGCTCCGGGCAGTACCTGCTGTCCCTCACATCCCACTCGGCTCTGCTCCCTGGTGTCCACGCAAGCATTTGTTCCTGGGGGAGAGCGGGGGCAGGGGGGTGGCATCTCTTTCATTCAGGCTCATTGAAGTGCTGCGATCCGGTGTTAGTAAAGCCGAGGATGCTGCGGCCCCCAAGGTGAGGCCGAGTGGGAGGGAGAGGCACGTCGCACGGGGAATTGGCTGGAGCCCTTTCTAGAGCAAGGGATGATTCAGTGCAAAGCTATGAGCCGTGCAATCTTGGGAGCCCGGCATGGGGTGAGTCCAGCCCTGGCTGGTGCCGTTTCTTTGAATGTTATCAGCGACTCCTCACCTCTGCAGCAGGACTTCACCCCTCGGACACATTTGGCAACATGCCTCTAGGTCCAAAGGTGAGAGGAAGAGCCCTTAAAAGAGCTGGCCCCTGTTCTTTCGGACAGAGACGGTGAGAGGCAGTGTCCAGCCCGGGATCCCCAGCCCAGCTGCAAAATGCAACATCTGGGCAGGCTGTGGACTTGGTCCTGCATCTGCTTCGCCATCCACCTGGCCACCGCGGCTGCATCCGTAGGTGAGGAACAAAACTTTTGGCCTGGGAAGAAGCCTGTCATCTACCGCCACTTGCCTTTTCCATGGGAAATGCATCTCTTGGTCTGTCAGAGGCCTCGGGAGTTGTACCAGCTTGGTGCTGTATGTGGCTGCCCTTTAAGGAGGCATCAAACACTGGGAAAGGCTTTAACTGGAGAACGGGGGGCTGGGAATGGGGTCCCTGCTGGAGACCGTGCTGCCCCTAACCATACACAGTGGCAGGGCCTTCCCCATCCCGTGCTGGCGGCTTGGCGATAAGTGACCCAACGCCAGCATTAAAGCAGACCGCCTGCCCTTGTCTCCTAGGACAGTGGTCGCTAGCGGGTGGTAGAAGACCTCTGTAAAGCCAGAGCGAGCCAGGGTTGGGGGGCTGGCTGCAGCCGCTGCTCACCTGCCCTGCTGGGAGGCATGCATTGTATGCGTGGGGCGACACGGAGCCGTGGTAGCGATAGGGCTGAGTTGAGAAACACCATTCACGCAAGCCGTCCTGGCCATTGCCTAGCCCCTTAGGGCACATAGAAAAGACTGAACCAAGATTTTGGGGGCGTGTATAGCCAGCATGGCCATGGTCGCACTTTCCATGCGGGGCCCGGGTGCATGCTGTGTGCCAGGGGTTAATGAAGGATCAACAGATGCTCTAAAAATGGTTATGAGACAGATGGAGAGGCCAGGGAGAAAACAGGCTGTTTATAACAGTGGTTTATAACCCCCTGCAGCAGCTTCTACTGACAGTCATATAACACCGAGGGCTCTTATCGGAAACGTCTATTAATCACTTAGGGACCTTTGTAAATGGAGCTTTAATAGAAAGTGTGATTGAAAAAGAAACTGGCGGTCGCCCGGCGGGGTTATTTATGCCCTGCCTTTGCTGCCGGGGCCCCTCACGGGCAGTAAAGCTGTCGGGGCCCTTTGCAGTGTTTCCCCCTCGTGCATTTTCACCTCCAGTTGGGGCTCAGGGCTGGGGGAAGCGAGGGAGATTTCCAGAACCAGGTAGTTTATGACCTAGGGGTCAGCTCTGCCTTCCGGCTGCCCGCGAGCTGTGCCCTTGTGCACCAGCGTCGTGCCTCGCGCAGGAGGCTCTGGCAGGCCCGGCGGGGCAGGGACGTGCCGCGATCGCATTAGGAGCTGCCTAGGAGGTGGAGGAGGCTGGCGATCAATCCTCGACCTCCCAACACGGAGGTCCAACTGCGAGCTGCGTGGAAGTGGCCCGAGGGGGACGCTTGAATTCACGGAGTGGCGAAACGTGTCCGCCTGCCGCGCTCTCGGCTCCTCTGGGCCGCGGGGGTCTGATCTCGGTGGAGGTGAAAGCACAGCGTGGGGAAGGGGACCTTAGCTGGACCCGTCACGGGCTGGGCCAGGTGGTAAACCTTCGCCATGGGGGCATCGACAGGACAGACTGCAGCAAGGGGCAGAGGCACGGGGGACAGGAGCCGGCGGGGTGCCGGCCCCGTCGGCCGCTCGACGGCCTGCAGTCAGCAGCGCAGCGCAGCCCTGCGCTTTCCCCGCGCGTTAGGGGCAGCAGGCGCTCCGGCTCCGGCTCCGGCTCCGGCTCCAGCCAGCTGCACGGCCCCGCCAAGGACAAAAGGCAAAGCAGCAGCAGCAGTTTCTGTAGGGCCGACACGAAGCCGATTTGTGCAGCTCCCCGGGGGGGTGGCGTGCCCCTGCCCGGGGTCTTCTCTGCCGGTCTGTGACGTGTGGGGTTTTGCGCGGCCGTCTCCAGGTTGTGTCGCCTGTGCTGGAGCTGGGCACCTCGGCTGCAGCCAGCCCCTGGAGCGCTCGGCCTGGCTCCCTGCCTAGGCTGCAGCTCCGCCTGCCGCCCCCACCCCGGCGTGCCACCCCCGGGCTGCAAGGCTGGTTGAGCTGGCGTGGTGCAGCAAAGGCCGCTGCAAGCAATTCTCCTGGGGCCTTGCATTTGGGGCAAGGTGGGAGGGGGGACGTGACTTTGGCCTGGCTTCTCCCCCGTGTATTGCAAGAGCTTGGTGCTGCTCTCCCAGGCGGAGGTGCCTGGGGGCAGGGATGCTGGTGACCCCAGGTGCAATAGGGGCCGGGGGCACTGATGCAGGGGGGGCAGCCCCACATCGATGTCTCTGGGGGCTCGGGGAGTGAGTCCGGCCGCCACTAGGATACAACAGGGTGGAGAGAGCAGAGTGCCAGGCTCCTGCGCCCCCGCCTGGGTTTTGCTGTGGCCAAAGCAAAGCCAGAGCTGCTGCCAGCCCACCTACCCCCCACCCTCCAGCAGCCCCATGGGGGGGCACCCAGTTTCCCCGGGGGGTGTCTCTACATGCCAGCATGTGCCACCGCAGGTGGGGGAAGCTGGCGCAGCGTTTGCAGTGCAGAGCCCTGCCTGGGGCTGAGCCCACGCAGGAGCCAGGCATACGAGGCTCCAGGTGCCGGGCTCGCGGCCCTCCAGCTCCGTTCCCGGGGACCTCGGCCCGCAGCGCCGTGGGGGAGAGGTTGGCCCTGGGCTCCCCATCCCAATGGGCCTGCCCCGCAGACGGGCACCTCCCTGCGGCTCCGCGCCCACCCCCGGCACCCGGAGCTCTGCACAAACGCGTCCATCCTGACCCGCCGCCTGCCTGGGCGGCTTCCCCGTTGCTTCCAGAGGACGAGAAGACCCCGGGCTACTGGAACCGGCGAGCCCAGAGGACGCTGGAGGCAGCCTTGGCCCTGACGCCCGTGACGCACCACGCCAAGAACATTGTCCTCTTCATGGGCGACGGTGAGTTCAGCCCTCCACGCCCCCGGCACTGGCCCAGCACAATCGTGGCAGCCCTCGGGGATGGGGACAAGCAGCTCCCAGCATGCACTGGGCCGCACTCCCGCCAAGTCCTGCCCGCGCAGACCCCGTCCCTATAGCACAAAGCTGGGTCCTGCTCGGTCCCAGAGCCACGTTTCACTGGCAACAGCCCTGGAGAGGGGGATAGGGGGTTTGGGGGTATTAGCACCCAAGTTTGGCCCCTGGGCTGTTCCTCCAGCCACCTCCCTAAGCCCTGGACAGACCCCTCCTCCACTTCTGCCTCAGTTTCCCCAGCAGCGACCTGGGCTGTGTTGTCCCCCACAAGTGCGGGGGGGCCATCAGCATGAAGGGCCCCGTGCTCAGACCGGGCAGAGGTGCTCGGGGCAGAGAATCGAACTGTCCCAGCCCGGGGAGGCTGGAGCTGGTGCCCCCGGGTAGTGGGCAATGCCTGCAGGTAGCTCTGCCGGTGACTCGCTCCAGGCCGAGCACCGGGAGGCCGCGCCTGGCCCATCCCTCCAATGGTGCCAGGCCACGGGTCATGCCGGGACGCCCTCGACAGGTCAGGCCACCAGATCTCCCTGCTCCACAGTGTCCCCGGGAAGAGCCTGGATACTGGCAGCTGGGAGCACGGGCATCAGAGCTCAGCCGCAAGGCAGCATTAGGCCTCTGCAGCAGGGAAACTGAGGCACAAGGCGGGGGAGGAGCTGTTCTCTCTATCTGGATATTAATAGTACTAGGCCTGGGCATGGGGGGAGAGCTCTGGGCAGCGAGCAGTACAAGGGCTCTGACACCAGTGAGTGGGGTCGATGCGGGCCATGGGGCACACGCTGCCCCTCTGCTTTGGGGGCGGGGGTAGGGTCTCCCTCAGCCATGCCCTGAGCCAGGAGCAGCAAGACTGACCCTGGGCGGGGGTCCGGGTGGGGGCACTGACCCGTCCATGCTGGGCAGCTCAGAGGGGCTGACGTGAGCCAGGGCGGTGCCTGCAGGGATGGGCATCTCCACCGTCACGGCCGCCCGCATCTACAAGGGGCAGCTGGAGGGCGGGCCCGGCGAGGACAGCTTGCTGGCCATGGAGACCTTCCCCTACCTGGCTCTCTCCAAGGTGAGTGCCCGGGCGCGGGGACCAGGCCGGCTGCAGAGCCCCCGGGTGCTGGGGACAGAGATGAGCTCCCTGGTGCCCCGGGCCCTGGCCCCGTTGCCCAGCCCTGCGAGGAGAGCCCCAGACACGGGCACCCTGTCCCCTTCCCAGCCTCCCCACCCTGGCTCACGGCAGCCCTCGTGTCCCGGCAGACATACTCCGTCGACCGGCAGGTGCCCGACAGCGCCAGCACGGGCACCGCCTACTTGTGTGGGGTGAAAGCCAATGCCAAGACCCTGGGGGTGAGCGCCGCGGCCCAACACGGCAAGTGCAGCACCACCTTCGGCAACGAGGTGGACTCCGTGCTGCACCGGGCCAGGCGAGCGGGTAAGAGTGGGCTGGGGCTGGGGCCAGGCCGTGGCTCGTGGCTCTGCCCTGCCAGCCAGGGCAGCACGGGACAGCAGACGCGCCTGCCTCTCAACCAGCCCAGCTCTCTGGATCTCAGGACCCCGCCTGGGCTGGCCCCTGCCTATAGACTGCCCCTAATTGTCGGCCGAGGGGTGGGGTGGTACCAGCCGTGGAGGCTGACGCATGGCTGTCTCACCCAGGCAGGGTCTCAGGAAGGGAAAAACCCCTCTCTCAACCCCCTTGTCCTCTCTGCCCGTGGACTCAGTGGTGCCTGTCGCCCTCCCTGCGTCACAGGCAAATCCGTGGGCATTGTGACTAGCACCCGTGTGCAACACGCCTCGCCCGCGGCTGCCTACGCCCACACAGTCAGCCGGACCTGGTACAGCGATGCCAGCCTGCCCAAGGAGGCCGTGCGGCAGGGCTGCCGGGACATTGCCTACCAGCTGGTGCACAACACGGACATCAATGTGAGTGGCCGGGGGCAGGCGGCTGCAAAAGGGGTTGCTGGAGGCACGTTGGAGCAGGTCCCTGTGCCCCTAGCAAGGCAGTGGCACGTGCCAGGGCCCAGGGCTGGGGAGAGGGAGGCCCGCTGCCTCCAGGCACCTTGTGGTCATTGTGTGCCGGCTCACAGCCATGCCAGGCTCTGGCCCCAGCACCTCTCCGTGGTGGGGTGTCTGAAGGGGCTGGGCTCCCCGTGTCCGGTTGGCAGGTGATTCTCGGTGGTGGGCGGATGTACATGATGCCCAGGGGGACGCCAGACCCTGAGTACCCACAGGACCCGAAGCAGAACGGGGCGAGGAAGGACGGGGTCCACCTGATCCAGACATGGCTCAGCACCAGGAAGGTACTGCCCGCAGTGTTGGCCGAGAACGGGGGCGCAGGCAGCCTCCCAGGAAGGGTCCGTCTTGCTCTACAGGAGGGGGGCAGCAAGCAGTTGGGTCTCTGTGCACATGGCACACCTGTGCACGTAAACACACGTGGAACACACCACATTTGTGACACACATGATGCGATGCTAGTGGACCCATTGGCGTGTATGTTGTATGTGAATGTGGGGCTCACACATGTGGCCCCATGATGTGTGGGGATGTATTCAGCATGGTGTGTGTGTGTGTGTGTAAGAAACCTATGGGCACTCGGTTCCCAGAGCCCCTCCTGTCCTTGCTCCCAGGGGGCCAGGTACATCTGGGATAAGAAGGGCCTGGACTCCGTTGATGAGATGTCCACCGACTACCTCATGGGTAAGAGCGGGACCCAGACCAGGCCACAAGCCCCACCTGTGGCCACCTGCCTCTCTGCCATTGGTGGAAGAGGCAGGTGGTCCCGCCCCACCCTCCCATGTGCTCCTTTATACATGGTGCCTCTGCTAGCAGGGGCGAGACCCCTCAACGGGGCTAAGACTCTCTCCTGCCCGCAGCCCTGCTGCCGGGGGGGCTGAGGTGCAAGTCCCAGGTGCCTGCAGGAGACCAGCTCTGCATGAATCCCCTTGCCACGCACCACCTGCCTGCCGGTGTCCTGCCCGTGGCCTCTGCATGGGCACCGAACCTCCTGGGGGCCTGGCTGGGTTTTCTCTGAGCCCTATGCACCCCATGGCACCCCGGCCCTGCTGTCAGCAGGATGGGCAACAAGCAATAGCAGTGCCCAAGCCCAGAGCGCCTCATCTGACACACTGTGAAATCAGGCCCCCGTCGCTGTCCCTGCAGGCCTCTTTGAGCCCAAGGACATGAAGTACGAGCTGAACCGCAACACGTCCACAGACCCCTCCCTCGTGGAGATGACGGAGAAGGCCATCCGCATCCTGCGCCGCAACCCCCGTGGCTTCTTCCTCTTCGTGGAAGATGAGTAGGGGCTCAGCTCAGCCCATCCCCAGAGGGCCAGGGAGGGGCACAGGGGGCAAAGCTGTGGCAGGTGGATCACTCAGCACCGCTGGGTGGGGGGATGCATTGCAATGCACTGTGGGATAGCGGCGGGTGCAAAAGTACTGTGGTGGGTGACTTGACCATGACCTTTGACTCCAGGGGATGCCCCCACTGTGATCCCAGCCCCATCCCCAAGCAAGGAGGCTCCAAGGGACGCAGGAGCTTCTCTGCTGCGTGGGGGCAGGGCTGGTCCAAGGGGAAGCGAACGCCAAGGGCTTTATGGGTTGTTGGTTCCCCCTGCACGAGGCAAGATTGACCACGGGCACCACAGCAGCAAGGCCAAGCAGGCCCTGACTGAAGCCATCATGCTGGACCAGGCAGTGGCCAAGGCCGCGGAGCTGACCGACGCCACTGAGACCCTCACCGTGGTGACGGCTGACCACTCGCACGTCTTCAGCTTTGGTGGCAACACGCCGCGTGGCAACAGGATGCTCGGTACCTGGGGCTGGGCTGTGGCTGGGCTGTGATGGACAGTGCCTGCGGGGATCTTACGGGGACAGTGACGGGTTGGGTGTGAAAACCAGGAATGGGGGCTCGGCACTCCTCAGAGCTCCTCCCTGGCACCAGAGGAGGGTTTGATGTCATCACCTTGCTGCGACAGGACTGGCACCCAAGAAGGCCAGGGACAAGCGGCCGTACACCAGCATCCTGTATGGCAACGGGCCCGGTTATGCCGTCAAGAACGGGAGTCGCCCTGACATCAGCCTCACGGCCATCGGTAAAAACTGCAGAGCCTGTCCTGTCACTGCGGCACAGGGGGGAGCGCTGGGCTAGGGGAGGTGTGTGCCAGCCCCAGGGTGGATCATTTCTCCATGGGTCATGGAGAGGTCTGGCCCCCATCCCCGGGGCTCAGCTGGCACCTCTGCCGGGCATGGCACAGCACAGCCGGTGCAGCCAGGGCTGCATGCAGTGTGAGGGGACTCCCCAGGAAGGCCAGGCTGGTGGCAGGTCACAGCAACCAGCAGCCCCTGTGCTCAGCAGGCTTTGTGCTGGCCCTTGCAGGATGAGATGAGTTTCATAGTTTCATAGTTTCTAGGGTCGGAAGGGACCTGAGAAGATCATCTAGTCCGACCCCCTGCCATGGCAGGAAACAGTACTGGGGTTAAACGACCCCAGCAAGGTGTTCATCTAACCTTTTCTTAAAAACCCCCAGGGTAGGAGCCTGCACCACTTCTCTTGGGAGTTGGTTCCAGACCCTAGCCGCCCTGACCGTGAAGTCGC